AATGAGCCTAAGCAGTGTCAGGGATAGATTTCTATAAAGAAAAGGCAAGCCATTCAACCTGAAAAGTAAATAGCTCAAGGGTCAAATAACAGTGGAAGTGTTGTCACAAGGCAGTGGGCGTTGCCAAGAGAGTGATACTGACAAGTCATGTTCTGAGTCTGGACAGGTGGAACACTGTTATGGGGGTTGGACTTCCATGGGAAGACTTCCCTGAAGTACCTAAGGTACGGTCTTTCCCAAGCTGTGCTCATCCAGATCAAGGGGTGACCTGAATAAAGGCATCTTTGCTTAGAGGCAGGTTAGTCTCTTTCAGAAGATTGGGATTTGGGGCAGTAAGTTAAAAGAATGATCTGAAAAGTGCAATCTGGACCTCCCATGGTTAACTCAGCAGGCTAGATATTGTGTTACTTAAGGATGAGAATATTATGATAAAGGTCAACTACCTGTTGAAAGCAGGCTACCAGTTATTTGTAAGAGTAAGCTCAAAACAAGTGTGTCAAAGTACAGAGCAATAGTGTGTCACTGCTGAAGGTATATCCTGTTCCAGATCACTCAGCAAGCAAACGTGATGTAATCCATCCTGTGGTCAGCTGAACTGGTCAGCAATGCAGTACTTCAAAATGACCTTGAACTTTTGCACCCATTCCTCTGCAATTCAAGTGACGTCTAATATTTTCACAAGAATGTGTGTTTCTAGCCTTATAAACCTAACAGGCAGAAGCAGTTATCTGCATTGATTTGCATATCTGTGGCAAGTTTCCCAGGGAAGGGAGAGGGCATACAGTGGAGGTGCCATGGGAGTGTCTGGTGAGACCACCCAAGGCAGTATACTTGGCTGTGTGTTCCGGGTCATCCCCATGACCCAGAAATATTGGTTTGCCAGGGTGTGGACAGCGGGATTATTGTGGCATTGGTAAATGTGGGCATGGCTGGCATAAGTTCTTTGGTTTTGTTTTGTTTTGGGTGGTATAAGAAGCAACTGTTATTTGTAGAGTCAAAGGTATTCAGTCTAATAACTGCAGTATGATTAGTGATCAGGAATCAAAGCATTCAGTATTCTTCAAATTACAAAGGCATTAAAAGAAGGAAGAGAAATGAGCCCCTGTGGATACAGTAGACTTCTCTGTAGGAGACAGAATTAGTTTTAATGTTAATTATATTCTATTAGATCTTGACTCAAAAACCAACAAACGGTGCTGGTGAGATGGCTCAGCAGGTAAAAGTGCATACTGTCAAGTCTGACAATGTGAGTTCAGTCCCTGGGGACCCACACAGTGGAAGGAGAGTTGTCATAAGTTGTCCTCTGGCCTCCACATGCACCCGTCCTCCATAAATAAATATTTAAACCGAAAATGACCTGATCACTTCTTCAGTTTAAAATATAAAACACAATTTAATACCCCAAACACCAAAGAATCTTTAATTAGCAAATTTAAAGGTACTTTCTATAAACGGAATTTTCTGAGCTAGTGCCTGAAAAACCGTAGGGATATATTTTGAGTACTTTGTGTATTTGTAAGACAAGACTGAAATAAGAGTTAAATAAAACTGAATGAGAAAAAAATACCCACATGGATATTAGTTATCTATAGACATGTGTTTTTTTGGGTTTGTTTGTTTTTAATAATTGCAGTCCTTGCCTCCAGAGTTGCAATGTCGCAAATTTGCAGAATTTCAGCAGATTGCCTCTCCTGTCTCGGCTCCACGCCGCCCCGCCCCCCATGAGCAGAACGTCCGTAACTAACTGTTCCAATTGCACCTTTCTTCCCCTCAACTGTGCAATAAAGTATCTCTTTATAGCACGGAGGCGAAAATTAAACAAAATACGTAGGGTTGGGAGTTCTGAATGAAGAAAAGTGCGAACAGACTTCCTTCCGCCTATCCAGTTTCCTGCGGTCTACGCGCCTCCTTTCAGTCATTCGCTCCTTTCTGCACATGTGCGCGCATCCAGGCCGGTTGACCAAATTCATAATATGCGCCACTGTTAACTTTCCCTCGGCCAGGCGCAGACGATGAGCCTTGGGCCCTTTCCATTGCCCCAGGTCGTCCCTTGTCCTCCAGCAACACCGCCTTCCAGCACCTCATGCTGTGGCCCCCGGCTCCGGGCCACTCCCTCCGCAGGGTGAGGTGGTGAGCTGGGCGAGCTCCCAAGCCGCGCGGTGATTGGTGGTGTCCTAGCAACCGTAGCGATGCAGTCCTCAACACAGACGAGACCGCCAGAACCCTGCGCTGCCCGCAGACCCTTCTCTGGCAGCCGGATGCTGGCCTCGCCCTCCCCCTCGGGTCAGCGGGGCCCTAGAGGATGGGAGGGAGGCTACTGAACACTTGCTGCCCCACTTTGCCTCTGATAGATTGCCTAGTAAGTGTGGGGCACCATCCTGCCTCTCCAGAACCTTCCAGGCGCCGAGCTTTCCAACAGGTTGCGTAGGGGGGAAAGTTTTCAAGTTGGACCTCACTTCTGAGGAACTGTATGGGAGGTGAGGTGGGGGAAGAACGCAGCGGCCAGGCCACACTCGGTGGATAATTGGGGTGCAGGGTCAAGGCCAGAGGCGGCCACCCACTTCTCTCACTGAGAGGGCTCTCTCACATCTCACTCCCTGCAGAATCGTAGCCACCTGGGCAGGTGGAGCGCCAGCTCCTTAGTGTATGTGTGTTCACAGGCTAACGGTAATAAGATGTGTTCGATAACAAGTCCATTAGAAACTTATTTCTTAAACAATAATGATCAATATGAATAATCAAACACCCAAAGCGGTGCCTAAGCTGTTTACAGTGTTCAGTCTGGGAAAAGCCCCAGCTTGCCCTCCCACTCTGCGTGGCTTCATGAGCACATCACTTTCCCTTTTTAATAGGGCATAAAACTTAATAATTAGGTTTAGCTTTTATTTAGTAGTTTCTCTTCTCGCTTCTTGGTAGCCTCCCACTTCTCAATGACGACTACCCCGAAGCACTCCAATTATTCTTAGACTTTCTTTTCTTGGTCCTGTTCTCTCAACCTTGGGATAGACCATTTCAGTATCCTTAACTGCTACGTTATTGGAGCAGTGATCGTAGCCTAGCTTTGCCTTTTAAGGGCAGAAAAGTATGGGGCTGTTAGGAATTGCAACAGGATACGTCAGGGAACAGCATCCCACCTTCCTCTCTTCCTTAGAACAAAGTTCAGAACTCACAAGATGGATCCCCTAGGCCATACTTCCTTTTTAAAGACACTAACAAAGATATAGGAAGTTTGGGGTATTGATCATAAAGTTTACCAAGGGCTTACACGGAATTCATGGGCTATAAGTTTCCCACTGCCACTCGGACTCTTTCTTCAAGGGCATGAGCAGCTGTGGGGTGTTCTTCTGATCGCTCACTACATGGATTGGACACAGAGGAGCCCTTACTTCTTTTGGATGGGGATTTTAAACTTGTGCCAGCTTCACTCCTCCCCCCTTCCCTCCCCCTCCCTCTCTCTCTCCCTCCCCTCCCTCCCTCCCTACTGTCTAGCCATAACGAAACTCTGACTTCTCTTGTTTGATTGGAGGTTTAAGACCCACTCCAGAAGTGCTTCTGAAGGGCTGG